ATCTATCTATCTATCTATCTATCTATCTATCTATCTATCTATCTATCTGTCTGTCTATCCAATAGCCATTTGCTACTAGGTTACCCTTAAATACTCTCCAAGCAGCTCCCTCCCCTACCTTCTGTCTCTGTAGAATTGCTCAAAGGCGTGACTTGGCTGTCACCAGCATATCATCTCTTTACACACCACTGACCTGCTGCTGTCTCTGGTCCCAGGTGGTGCTGCTACTAAACAGATTACCTTGGATTGGGGGCCATTCCTCTGATAGAGAAAGGGAGCCCCCTGCTGGACAACTACCAGTGGTTTTAGGCTGACTGTAGGAGTTTGGTGATACCTTGGCCCACCTACTCCCTTGCCCCTCCCCCTCCCCATCCCCCCATTGTAAGCCATATGCCAGCTTCACCATACTATGGGATGGTGGTAGCACCTCATATCTAGAGACTATACACATACATAATGCATATATACATGCATAAATATACACACACTATATATACATGTATATGTCTATATCTCCATTGCTCTGAAATCCTCTCGTTTTGGGATATCTTGAGCTGGGAGGATCTTGTATGAGGATTGCAGAATGAGGATAAAGTGAACCAATCAATTAATAAACATTGATAAACAGATAACTGAGCACTCTTTTCTAATCAAGCCTGAAGTCCTGGTTGGTATGTTACAGCAGTACATCAAGCATCTGTGATTTCCCGGACATGTGAACTCTTTCCATCGATGCAGATAGCAACCCACCCATAACTTATCGTCTTGGAGGCCGCCTGAGGCTCAGAGATATTAATTGACTTGACTGTGATCACTCAGCTAGTAACTGTCAGAGGCAAGATTTGAAACTCTGTTTTCCTGACTCACAATCCAGCAATCTGTCCTCTCAAATGCAATATCGGTACAGTACGATAACCTCCTATAAGAGAGTAAGAGGGACAGAATCAGAGTCTAGAGGGTAGGGAGGTACATGGTACTGCTGGGGTGTCAAGAAAGCCTCTTTCTTCAAGGCCTCAGCTTCTCAAAGGGCAGCAATGCGAGGCTGGCTGTGGGCAGCATATCTGTTGTAGGACTCTGAACATCTGGTTCAGAAGTTCATACAGAAACTAACTAGAGGGAAGGGACCTGGCAGAAGGGAAGGTCTTTATTAATGTTTTCCTTCAAGCTGGAGGCAGCGTGGGGCAGAGGCAGGGCTGGAGGAGGGCAGAGAAGCCAGGCAGGACAAGTCCAAGTCTGGATAGATTCCAGGTCTTAGGGAACTACATCCTAGCAAAGAAATGGGTCTTGGCTTCTGTAAGTAGTCAAGAAGTCTGACCTGAGGCAATCGGATTACACAATAGGAGAGCTTGATTCTATCTGGGCTGAGAACTGGGATGTGCCTTTCTCCATTAGCAGCTCTGGTAGATGGGTAGGGAATAAGTAGTTATTAAATGCTTACTATGTGCCAGGCATTGTGCTAACCACTTTACAAGTGTTATATCATTTGATTCTTGAAACAATCCTGGGAGGTAGGTGCTGTTCTCATCATCATTTAACAGTTGAGGAAACTGAGGCAGACAGAGGTTAAGTGACTTGCCCAGGGTCACACAACTAGTAATTGTCTGAGGTCAGATTTTAACTCAGGTTTTCCTGACTCCAGATCCAGTATTCAATCCTCTGTGTCACCTAGCTGCCTCTAGGTGGGACAGCTAACCCATAGAGAGATGGGCACTGTATAGAACTTTCAGAACTGGGGTCTTGAGGGTTTGGTGTCCCCTGATTCATGCCTTAGAATCATAAGAGGCAAAGCCTTAGCACTGGTCATGGAGGCAGGAAAGCAGGTTGAGTATAGAAGGGCTGAGTCAGAAGGAGGGTGGTACAGGGACAGGGCTTGATGGAAGGATGGTTTACTTTTGGGTAGGAGGGATTACAGAAGAGACTCCCCTCTCCCTTCCTCCCACCTTTCTACTTTCTCCCAACATCTCCTTTGAGTCCACACCTGAATCTGAGTTCTCCTCAGAAAGGGCAGAAGGTCTCTCTGGAGGGGAGAGAAAGGAAATATAGAAGTAACACATAGAACTTCCAGACCTGTTGGGATTTGCCCTCTGTTGGGGATTTCCTGGGGCTCAGGCGGTTCCCAGCAGTGCTGATGGCTTGCTCTGGATTGGTGCCCAGTGTTGGGGGATGGGGGGCATAATGTGCCCTAAGGAAAGGCATTCCCCACTCTGAGAGCTAAAGGATTGTATATTATTTATTTTTTGATCTCCCCAACAGCTTCACAGGGATCTTCACACAGTAGGCCCTTCAATTCTCTTTGCACCCCCACCCCGATCCTGCCATACCCTTGGAGAACTATCCTATATGTTCCGTCATAATCCGACCCAATAATAGTGTGGAGGGGAGAGGTGTGCATGGAGAGGAACGCTGTCCCACAACCTTGCCATCAGGCTTTAGGAGCTACTGCTCAGATGCTTTCCCCATTCTGGGCTCCCTCCTGTTGAAAGGAATAGCCACAATCCTGTGGCAGTAAGGTCTACCTGTGTGGCCCTGGGCAAGTCACTCAACCATTGCATGCCTCATCTTCTTCAACTGTAAAATGAGGATAATAACACCACCTACCTTGCAAGGTGGTGAGGATCAAATGAGATAATATTGGTAAATTGCTTTGCACAGTGCCTGGCACATAAGAAGGTGCTACTGAGGACTTATTTCCTTTTTCCCTTGGATAAGTCATGGACATCATTTCCTCCATGGGGAAATGGAGGGGGTTGGATGAGATGACCTCGGAGGTGCCTTCCACCTCTGGATCTGTGATTCTCCATCTCTGAGGCTGGGGCTGGAGACATGGATCTCCACGATTCCATCTCTGCTTGGAGGACACGGAGGCCTGGGGAAGGGAAGGAAAGCTGAGGGCAGTTAAGTGGTTGGCACGGGGAATACAGAGTCTGAAGTCTGGAAACTTGTATTTTTGTGTAAGTGCCTTGTGTCGGTGGGGTGAGTAGGGGGTGTTTCAGGCCTCCGTGTGTGTTTGCAGAGTGGAATATGGGTTGTTTTTGTTCCTTCTCTGGCCTGAGCCCTTAAAAATATAGACAGCTAATGTCTTCAGTATGTATGAAATATCCCGTATGCTAGGAAACAAAAGGGGCTCTGTTATTAAAGTTTCATTTCCACACGCCCCCTTCCCCCTCCCTCCTCCTTTCCTCCCTCCTCTGGCTCCCCCTGTCACCCTGCCCTCCCCCCAGCCTCTCTGCCGGCTCTGCTCCGGAGGAGGGACAGAGGGAGAGAAGGAGCAGGAGAGAGGAGGAGAGAGCAGAGCAGAGCAGAGCAGAGCCGGCTGGGGTCCTGCTCCGGGAGGGAGACAGGAGGGCAAGAGTGGATGGCATTGGAAACCAAGGGGTCCCTCCCGGGCACAATCCTTACCCCCTAGGTTGGAGCAAAGCATTTCCTCTGGTTCCAGGTGAGGGAAGAGAGGACGGAGGGAGAGAAGCACTGGGCTGGGCTCTGGCAGGGGAGATGGGACCCCTGGGTTCCTGGGGTGGGAGCCTTTCTGTGGGAGCTGCTGAAGAGAGGACAGTGACTTGTCTATCCCGTCCTTTTCCCCCCGGGCTCTGGCTCAGGTCCTGCCCGCCTGGGCTTTTTGCCCCTCGAAGAGCTGCCTGGGACGGAAGTCCCAGTCTGGCTGGGCTAAGTGGAACAGCATGTGTCTCCTGCTCAGAGTGGGCTGAATGAGAGGAGAGACTAAACCGGCCCTCCGCCTCTGGGCTCTGGGCTCTAGGGAGGGCTGGTCCAGCTGTGGGATGGATGCGCCTGTCCCTAGGGTGTAAATGTGTGCATCTGAGTGTAGGTACACTTGGGGCCATGCTTCTGTGAGTATGTTTGAGGGAATGTGTTTATGCATGTGCCCCAACGTGAAGGGATCTGAAAGTGTGTCTGAGTGTATTCTTGTTCCTGGGTACATGTGTCTGAGCACACATGTGCATATATGAATACGTGTACAGATGAGGGCGTGCATGTATGAGTGTGCATGTTGGAGCACGTGTTTGTGTATGTGTGAGTCTATGCATGTGTCTACGTCCAAATATTTGCCCTTTGGTGGCATGGCCCGAATGGTGCACTCAAATGCTTATTCAGGGATGCAGTGTGCTGCTTGTAGGGGGTTGATTGGGGGTCTGGTTAATTTGATGGACTTTTCACAGGTGAACCTTTATTTGGGATTTTGATTGCCCTTTTCAGAGGAGGTTGTGGGCCCCTTCCAGTTAGCCCCTCGTTGGGAGGGTTGCTTACCTCTCTCAGCCTGGGTACTTCTCAGTTCATTCACACCTCCTTAAGGATGAGTGATAAAGACTTGATTGGTAATTGATTTGGTTAGCTCTGGCTAGTATGGATCTGAAGGGCAGCTAGGTGGTGAAGTGGATAGAGGCTGGGCTTGAAATCAGGAGACCTGAGTTCAAATACAGCCTCAAAAACTTCCTAGCTGTGTGACCTTGGGTAAGTCACTTAACCTCTGTTTGCCACTAGAGAAGGAAATGCAAACCACTTTAGAATCTTTGCTGAGAAAAACCCGTGGGCAGAGGTCCACAGGGTCATGAAGAGTTGGACACGACTAAACAACCATAAGATTGTGGATCTGAGAGAAGCTCTTTGCATTGGGCACATATGAAAGGGACTCAGGCCTAGTGGGATATGCTGAGAGAGCTGACCCAGATTGGAAAAATGGAAAACCGCTGCAGGGCTAGGAATGAAATTGGGGTGGGGGTGAGGGAACCTACTCAGCCTCTTCAGGAAGGCATGAATGGGTCCAATGGATCAAGAAGTAGCTAGCTCCAGAGGTGGTCCTCACACCTCTCAGCGAGGGTTACGCGTGCTCATGAGCTCAGATGAATGTTTGTCACCAGGTACTGTCACCCCTGGGTGCACTAATTAGATTGCTCCCAGAGCCCTACCACCTTCCTTTCATCACTCACTGTGGCCAGTGCAGCCAGTTTTAAGCAGTGTGGGGCACAGGAAGGGCAAGGATGTCTCTGTCCCTGCTCCCCCCAACCAAAAGAAAGAACAGGCTCACCTTGTACAGGAGGAAATCCTGGCACGGCTTTTTTGTTTCACCCTCTCAGCAACCTGGGAGACTCCCCTGGAATTGGGCTGGGAATCACAGAATGTTGAATGGGTCCTTAGTGATCATCTATTATACCTCCCTCATTTTACAGAGTGGGAAACTGATGCCCTGGGAGGTGAAATATCATCTATATGACCTTAGGTCATACAGAAAGTGACAGGCAAGGCCCTGGTGCAGGGTCTTAGACTTTCCATCTCCTCTGCCCCCAGGCACAGTCTCCAGTTGCACATACAATGTAGGACTCACCACCCAGGGAGTCAGGCAGGCAAAAAGTGGTGTAATGTCAGTGAGATCTGGGTTCAAATGCAGCTTCAGTTATTCACTACCTGTGTAACCCTGCAAAGTCATTTGGCCTCACCTGTAAAATGAGGGAGTTTGACTTAAAACCACTTAGGTCTCTTCCAACTCTAAATTCATGGTCCTCTGTAAGTCCCTACTTGTCCTACCCTCTACAGTCCCGATTCATGAATTCCCTTTGGGATCATCTGGGAAGTAGAGATACCTACTGAGTGTCAATCTCATTAGTCTAAGATATAAGATCCCTTCCTACTACCCCCATTCACTACGACTATTCTGCTCTTATCTTTCATTTCTTTGTTGCATATGCTTGTTTACCTCTCAGGAAATAGTTGAACATAGATTTTATTCCCATTATCCAGAGGGAAAGACTGAAGCAAAAGTGGAAGGATGATAAAAAAAATGCCTCTTTTTGTATCCCTAGCTCTATGTGCCTGGGACATAGTAGGTGCTTAATAAATGTTGATTCATTGATTTGTCTAGCACTTTATGTTGTCTGATAGGATCCTGACACTAGTGCTACAGAAAGAGGAAGGGTGTGGGGGTAGGTATGTGGTGCAGTGGATAGAGCACAAGGCCTACAGTCAGGAAGATATGAGTTCAGATCTGGCCTCATGCATTTACTATCTGTGTGATCCTGGGCAAGTCACTTAACACCTCTTTGGCTCAGTACCTCATCTATTAAATGGGACCCACTGGAAAAGAAAATGGCAAACCACTCCAGTATCTTTGTCAAGAAAACCCCATGGCCTTTGTCACGTAGAGCCAGATATGACTGAATGACTAAACAACAATTAATGGATTATTAAGTCCATTTTACAGATAAGGATACTGAAACTTGGAGACTTCTCAGGGTCATATGATTAGTTAGTTTGTGACAGAGTCAGATCTTAAACCCGGGTCTTCTGACTTCTAGTTGAATGGATCAAATGCCTAGGAGCCCCGGTAACCTGATGCCCCCTCCCCCCCACCGACAGTCTTCTGTGTTTGGGCTTATATGACTGTTGCTAGGGGCTACTGGAGGTACCCATGGGGACTCCCTCTCCATCCTCCCAGCAAACCTTGTACTACTGCCTTATGAGCCTGGAATTTTTCCCAGCTGAATTTCTACCCACCCTACCCGAACCCCTCTAAAGCTGCAGAACATACACCATCAATTATAGTACAGACCCTGGTTTATTAGGACTGAGTGGTTGTAGCAGCTTTGAAGCTCCAGGGCTCTGGCTGCTTTTCCTTTCCAGGAGACAATTAGGAAGATTCCTTCAGGGAAACAGAAAAGGGGGGAAAAGTAAGGCGTTCAAAGGCAAGAGAAGGAAGAAGGCTGGACTCACGCTATCATGGAAAGAACACCAGCTTGGAAAATTGAAAGTCTAGCTTCTATTTCTGGTTTGGCTACTCACTTGCTCTGGGACTTTGGAAGATTTACTCCTTTCTTTGAGCCTCAGTTTCCTAATCTGCAAAACAAATACTCACCCTACTTGCACTCACGGTGTTGTGAGAGGAAGATGCTGGTAAATCTTACGTCTCAACACAGATGAAATGTAGTTGTTATCTCTGGGCCTCATTTTCCCTATTTGGAATATGAAGGAAGTAAGGGAGGTAGACCAGAGATATCTCTAGTTTCTTTGCAGTGCTCACATTCCATGAATCTGCCAGGGAAGGGGTGAGGACTGTTGTGCTTGAGTTTGTGGGAGTCCTTAGGCAGCCAGTTCAGTTCCAGCTCAAAAGAGGTATTTGCAACTTTGAGAGGCAGCATAGTATTAGTAGACAGAGTATTGGAATTAGGAAGGCCGAGTTCAAATCTTGCTTCAGACACTTGTTAGTTGTGTGACCCTAGGCAAGTCACTTAATTTCCCTGAGTTTCATTTTTCTCATTTATAAAATGAGGGAAATGAACAAATTATCTCTGAGGTACCTTTTAGCTTTAAATTTATGATCCTATTAAAAATCTCATTGTATGTCTCTGTGTGTATATGTATATGTGCACATATATGTATATACATGTATGTATGTATGTATGTATATAGCGTGGGGATGGGAAATTGGAGGGGATGGGTGACAGGGCTCAATATCCCTGGTGAAGCCAGGGCAAGAACCCGAAGATCAGAGCCAGGAGGTCACCCCAGGGACTCCCAGGGTCAGTTTGCTACCTTTCTAGGTTCGCTTTAACCTCCTCACATAGCTAGGTGGAGTGGCGTCCCTATTCTGGTCTCTACAGCCTGTTTCTATGGGTCTTGGTGTAATATTATCTGGCTCACCCAGCTATTCTGTTCCTACTCCCTGGAGGGATGGGCTCTGGGAGAGTTATAGCAGACTATAACAATAGGTCACATTTCTATCGTGTCTTGTATTTTACAAAGTGTTTCCTTTGCAACAATCCTTTGAGGTGATTAGTGCTAGGGTTATTATTCCCATTTTGCAGACAAGGAAACTGAGCGTCTGGGAGATTATGATTTGTCCCCAGCTAGAAAGTGACTGAGCTTAGGACGAAAAGCCAGGTAATAATAAGTTCACAAGGTCTAGAGCTGGAATGAACCTTAGAAAAGACAGTAGTTTATATTTACCTAGCACTTGGAGGTTTACAAAGTACCTTCCTTCCATGAGTAAATGCAAGTATGATTACCATCCTCCCCCTCCTCATTTTCAGCTGGAAACAGACTCGGAGAGATGGTTGGTCTGGCTAGTAGAACCTGAATTTCCATCCAGGTCTTATTCCAAACCCATATTTCTTTCCACTTCAGTACATCCAGTCTCTCACTCTTCTGGCTCCAAAGCTAATGTTCTTTCCTCTATACATGCAGGGTGGGTGAGCCAGGAGCTAAGACATATTGCAAGTACTACAGTTGTTTAAGTTGTTTGGTCATTTTCATTAGTGTTGGACTCTTCATGACCCCATTTGGGGTTTTCTTGGCAAAGGTACTAGAGAGGTTTGCCATTTCCTTCTCCAGCTCATTCTAGGAAACTGAGGCAAACAGGGTTAAGTAACTTGTCTAGGATGGAGCAGCTAAAAAGTACCAGAGGCCAGATTTGAACTCAGGAAGATGGGT